AAAATAGACCAAGGAGACTACGATAATAAGAAAGATCCTGCATGGGATGAGAAAGCCAGGAAGCTCTATTGGGCCGGGAGTACCACTGGTAGTTATAGTTGGAATGGTACATGGCGGCATGCCCACCGACAACGTTTTGTGAAATTGGTACAAACATTGAATGGTACTAACTATACATATCTTCGAGAACTCAAGTCTGGATACTGGGTGAGCTACCAGACTATCGAGGATCATGGTAGCTTATTTGATGTCAAATTTACTGATGTTATTCAATGCGATGTTTTGGATTGCGAAGAGCAGAATCAGTTCTTTACAATTAGCAAAAGAGAAGCCCACAGCCAGCAGTTCAGTGCCCAATTCGCGTTTGATACTGACGGCAACTCTTTCAGTGGGCGATTTTATACATTGCTGCAATCACGAAGCGTCGTTCTTAAGCAATCTGTTTTTCGTGAATGGCACGACGAGCGTCTTGTGCCGTGGGTGCATTTCATCCCTGTTAGCTTATCTATGAACGAAATACCAGAAGTTATGCGATACATGACGACTCATGAGGATGGAAAGAAGAGGGCAGAAGAGATTGCCGAGGCAGGTCGTGCATGGCATGGAAAGGTTTTGAGAAAGGCAGACTTCACAGTCTATCTATACCGTCTTATGTTAGAACTAGCGAGAGTTATGAAACCTACACGACTGGTTGAAAGCTAAGGAATATGTTTATTGCTTTTTTTAACATGCATAATTGTAGACATTTTTCTGTTACAAATATCTGCTCACAGTGCTTACAAGCACGTCGCGCATACTTACTTGCTACAAGCGAGCCGCGCACCCCACCAAGTTTCCCTACCTCTCCTGGGCCAACATACAATTGATCAATGCAACGCCACTTAACTATCTCCAAGTGATACCGATTTCAAGCTTTTGGTAATTACCTCTATTATCAAAGGTAATCTAATGAAAACAAATTGACACGCTGCTATGGACTATCTATCGAGTTCCTGAATCTACTCTACGTGACAGACGCGCTGAAAGACCTACCCGATACAATTACCAGCCTAGTTAACTCAAGGAATATTATCAAGCTAGAGGAGGAGGTGATGTTTGTTCATATACGTGGTCTATGTCTACGTGTATTTCTTCCTACCTACGCAGTTGTGCGCGGTATGGCTGATAGACTCCTAGCTGCGCGCGGCGCTCGCCAGGCTGGCGTCCATTGGCCGCGCAACTTTGTCAAGCGTACAGATAATCTTACAACGTGCTTCAATCGAGGTGATCACAGTCGGTGACAATGGCTAGATGAACAACGCGCTATGCGCTGCATGGCTAAAGCACTTAGATGTTCACAAGAAGACTCGCATCGTCGGCACACGTCGCCTACTTGTTCTTGATAGCCTTGAGAGCCACCCATCTACTCCAGCCTCTTGAAATTAGCTGCATTTCACCATTGAAGTGCGCCTACAGCTGCAAGCTAGATGGAATAATCCGCCACCTTGTCAACCATTTCACTAAATTCGACTTTTTGCAAGCGTTCAAGGCAGCGTTTGGTCGAACCCTCATACCATCCAATATCTGCTCAGCTTTTCGAGGGATAGGTCTTGTTACTCTTCAGCCAGATGCAGTTCTATCAAGTTTTGATATAAATATGCGTACACTTACTCCACCTGCTATTCTAGCAGAGGCTCTCCGGCAGACTCGTACGCTTAGCAACACATGCGAGCTTGAAGCTAAATCAACGTTAACACGTAATCGCGTTTAGCGGCATCATGACTCATCATCAGCTTTATTGATTGTGGCAACTGAGCCGCTCAAGAATGGGGCAGCGGTAATGAAACTCTCAACTGGGCTAATGCGCCATTAGATTGCCAGCCTTGAAAGGGATAACAAGGCCGCAATAAAGCGTAGACAGCGTAAAAAGAAGCGGATACAGAAGCAAGGAATGTTAACAAAGAGAGCTAGAGAGGATCTACTTGCTCAGCATGAAGCTAATAGGCAAATTAATCATGAAGAGCGTCAATGAAAACAGTGATCAAGTGCTAGTGGCCAGGCTCTAGCGCGCTGTGGTAGTCGCAGAGAGACCGGTCATAACTCGGTCATGTGCAAGAAAGATACTATAAGTACTAAGTACTGAATCTACTCCGATGATTTTCGTATATCATACGGCTGCGCTGTTAATATATACGTCAACAAAGGTGGGCAAACTTGCCCGTGTGCGCCGCTCATTTGCATGCGCGACTCGCTTGTATATAGACTACAGTACTGCTTATGCTTTACACAACGTCCAACCAAACATTCTCTTCATGGGCGTAGCTGTTCCTAAATATGGCTTCTGGAAATCGAGGTGCACGAAAAACCCTGCGAAGTAGATATGGCTGCAGTATATCCGTTACTGAAAACATCTGCGATCATTTGTTGGGTTTACATATTTGCGGCTAGCTACTCACCAGATTGACTATATCCCCGTAGGTAACATAGTATGATACAGTACACTTGGCCAATAGTCGTTCTGCTTATTTTTACGAGAGGCGGTGCATTGTTCATCAGCCTTTCCAATGATGCGCTTACGCAGTAATGAAATGTCAATTCTAAAGACAACGACATCTCAACTTCGCTAGTTAGTACATAGACCGTTTCGTTATCTAATGTGAACTTCATCAAGCTCTATAGGAACTCGCACGATTACATACCATTGGTCTCCGCTGCTTGCACTTCAATACTACGCGTAGAAGATCCAAAAATGGCGCCCCGTCATCATCCATCCGCACTTAACAGCAATTTCAACTATATAAGTTATCTACAGCCTACAAAACTCAAAGAAACACAATTCTTAAGAGTGGAGGAACTAATTAAAGCATCTCTCTGTAACTCAAAAAAGAAAATGCTTGCGTGTATCAAAAACAAAGACCTCCAAAACTACCCAGAATGGCAAGAAACACTCAAGATCGTGTTGTCTATATCCCTGAAACTTAATCATATCAAAGCCGCAATGGTACTTGCTAGTTATCTGCATCCCAAATTGTGGCAAAAACATCTCTTATAAGACTGCATATTGCATCACGATGCGACATGTCAGGCTTGGATGGGAGCTGCTTCGGAATGCTGTGTGTCTTAGATTGTGCTATTTGCCTACACCAGAGAATCAGGAGAAGCTTACTCACTGCGAGCTACTAACAGGTTCAATCGTTGGCCGTTTTGTAAACTAATATCATGGTAAACATCTTTCTGTAGTGCGTGTAGATACCACCTACTTATATACCACCTGGTTTCATTCGTAGCTGGAACAATAAGTTAGTTGCAACAAACTATACAGCGTGCAGTTGGCTAGAGCGTGTGACAGTGCTGTCTTGTGTCAATCAAATGGCTGCAAACACACACCACTCATTTGAACAATACTGTTGAAACGACCCAGACGACTAAAGATAACACAAAGCAAAAATATATATGTAACTAACTAGTTATTCGTAGAAGAGTGATTGCTATAAGAGTTAGGGAGTCGAACTAAGCAATGCAGGCTTGTTAAGGCGCTATGTCCGAGTAGCAATAAGCTTGGTAGCTCCGTAATACTCATCAAGAAATCTGCAGGCGGAAGAATTATTGGAAGATATGATTTGATCTAGTGAATGCGCCTTCTTGGTCCCTATACGCCGCCTTGCTGAATGCCAACTACATGTAGTGGGTAGTGGATAATGAATTACTATAGTAAGTGCATTGTTGACAAAACACTACACACAACAACCTACGTTTCGAAAACCTTATCTCACTGTTGGCTACGCAACAGCGGTATCAAACCTAGCATTTCTTCTATTGAACCTTGGAATCTTAGCAGGCAAGACTCGAGAGTATCGACAAAGGCGCTGCGAGCATCTCCGGACTGATTGGGAATCATCGTGGGTCCATCCGTGCGCACAGCACTAGCAAAATCTCCAGAATTCTTGTTGCCACTAGGAAATCCAGAGTACATTGAACAAGAGACGCTTGTCTGACACATATTCGTAAAGTTATAGCAGCCATAGGGTTCGCGACGTGTTGGAGTCCAGGCCGGCTGATAACCGGAGAATCCTGGCCAGTAGGGAGCTGCGGGTGACCTACTTGGAGGTTGTGCTTGACTCTGTGGCTGATGGTTGTATGTTTGATGGCAGTCGTACACCTGGCTGGAGAACCGGTCTTGATAGAATCTGGCTGAGGTGCGCCCGGAATGTGCAGACATCGTGAACGTTGTGCTGGAGTCAATGGAAAATGACAATGGTGACACAAACGGCTGCGGTTTGGGGCGTTGTGGCGCAACAGTGCAGTCCACGCGTAAGATCGGCTTGCCGGGTTTTGTGGGCGACATCTTAGCTCTCTTTCGGCTGGGCGAGCTCGTTGGCTCCATAGATGATATTGCACGCTTTCCTAAATTTGTTCGGAAGTCCATTTGTAAACCGATGAATGTCTGTCCCGTTGGGGTGCATGCGGGCTGCAGACTGGGGGATCATATGTAGGGAATCTTACTCACTGTAACCGTAGAGACCAGTCACCGCTCAAGATAAGAGTGTGTACATACTTGTGTTTACGAATAGGCAAAATGTGTAATACATAAGCTATATCGTATCTCATGTGCAGAACATCTGTCTTGTATGTATACGAGATGCTTTCACATCGCGTGTCATCTTAACTGTACTGCTCAGGCCCACTCATGCAATGCCTGAATAGCGTCTGACTGATTATCATCACTGCCCATTAGCGCTCGCTATACCCAGATGGTAACAGGGGATTAATTTTTACGGTCCAAGAAAAAGAGCCAATCTGAAGCTGTGTTCGAGCGGTCCCGGCTATGGTGACCATGACAGGGTTCCGACTGGTAACAAGGCAACCATTCCTTGCATTACATACAAAATTTGAAACGCTGACACCTCCTGTAGAAATAACCGATTTAAGAGATGCGGGAATAGGGACATTTGAGAAACCTCGTTGTTGACTGTTATATGTACATCCAAAAACATTAAAGAAAAGTACCTGACTGCAATGCGCAATTAAGGGCTCTAAAGCCCTTGGTGGTTCATTCCAGTCTGTTTGCATTTCTTGACTCCCTTCCGTTTCGTGATGGCGGTGCTAGGATATATTCTTCGTGATAGGAACTCATTCTCATGCTCCGCTCTGAAGTAACTTCTGAACAGATCACTGTCTTGCCTTCCTTGAGCCCGAACTGACCTTTGCTATCTTCTGTCATGGAGGATTCAGTCTTTCGGCGATACCCAGATTTCCCCTTCGTTTGCGCCTTGCCTAGAATGGTCTTTGTTAGACGATTGCGACAGCACAGTGAAGTTTTATGGGGTAGGGAAACATAGCTCTTGCGTATGCTCCCCTACGAGTGGTGCTATAAATATGGTTGGAAGGTTGCCATGGGTACAGCAGATGGTTCCCCCCGTACGGAGATTTGCAAAGGAGAGATAGGAAGGGTCGCGTTGTTGGGATCCCGTCATGAGGATTAAATCACATAACTTATCAGCTTAATAGAGTTAACCTTTACAGTCCAGTTATGTAGTATTGAGAACGTACCTGTTGTAGTAGATGGGGTTAAAAGGTGAGCTACTCAACTGTTCCGTTTGCGTTGTTGGCGCATACCTGCGTTGCAGCACCGTCTCTTAATCCACTTTCGCCCCGTATAGATCGGGATATAAGGCGTCGGAGCCTAGGAGAGTACTATCAAAATATTTTTCAAACTCGGTAGCTTGTATGTAGTCATCAACATACGACATAGCGTTAGCCGTGAGACGGGTTTCGTCTTGGGGTGGCCACACTTTTTGTGTACCAGTAGCAGCCTCCTCTATTGCAAGAAACTGAGCCCAACAGCAATGGTTTTGCCATCTTGTTTACTTTTTACCCAAGTAGAAGTTTATGTCGCAGATCAGCCAACATACTGTTGATCCCTGCATAGCTGTGAAATCCATCACATTCATCCACCCGGTGGACAAAAATCCCGGGACTCAGCACAGGCCACCCCACCAATATCGATGACGCGCCAAAAACATTCCAACTTTAGAGCTGCATAACACAACAACTTTATAATAATTTTTTCTATTTCTCACTCGCATCGTGTTCGCCATGTTCCAAAGTACTTTTTCCATCCATGACACTCCCAAAAAAGCACGCGTGAAAGGTGCTGCCGACTTCATGAAATATAAGGGTGTCTCATTTCGACATATTGACCTTTTTCGATAGTACCATGAAGTCTCCAAAACACGTGGCTGGGCTATTGTACAAGAAGACAACTATATATTCGACCGCCGAAATGATGATAATGAGCTCCTCCCGCAGAACCGCGGCCGTCCCCATACACTTTCTCCACGGGATATAGAGCGGTGCGATCGTTTTCTTCAAGACCTTGGATGGACTGCACGATCTATGACGTGGTCTCAGCTAGCTGAGGAGCTGGATCTTGGTGTTTCTGGAAAAACTATAAAACGGCATATGGGCTCTATAGATTCGCACAAATGTATCGCGTGCTCCAAGGGCTGGATGTCACAAAAACTCGCCCAGAAACGAAAGGAATGGGCCACGATCATGCTTGATAAGTATCCCAAGCCGGAGGACTGGCATAGAGTCCGCTTTTCTAATGAATTGCACTGGTCTATTGGTGCTGAAAAAAAGATCCAGATTATCAGAAAACCCGGTGAACGCTACTGTTCTGATTGTATTCAACATACCCTCGATCGAACGGCTGAGAAATCGCATCGCTGTTAGTATTCATAGGCTGCTATGAGATATAACTTTAAATTAGATCTATATTTTTATACTACTAAGTCTCCTAATCGCAAGGTGAGCCTAGAGGTGTATCGAGATTAGATACTCGAGCCAATAGTAAAGCGCTGGCTCTAGCGCGGCGATGACTTCGTTGTTGAAGAAGATAATAATAGCGGCCACTGCGGCGGCCGTTCCGCGTGAGGGAATATTGTTCGGAGCTGGAAAAAAACACCATAGGCTAGAGTCATATTTCAACTGCCCTGGATTACTAAATTTGGCATCCATTGAAAATTGCTGGCGCCTACTAAAGCAGTTTATGGCTAGATTTCCGCACTAGGACAAATTCGAAACCCAAGAATTAGCTATTGAGGGTTGGTAGAAGGTATCAAAAAAATATAGTTATTAGTTAATGATTAAGTAGATAGTATGTCGCCGAAGCTGAAAGATTGCATTGAGTTAGATAGACAAATAACTGGGTGGTGAATGAAAACACTAAAAAACCGATCTAAAACTATCGCAATACTAAGATATTTGAGTATAACTATACATATATAACTATAATATGTTTATAGCTTCAAAATCGAACTGCAGCTCGAAAAATGACTAATTTCAATGTTGTTTTGGTGGGCCGTACGCGGTGTGAAAGAGGCAGCGTCGCTAACGAGTTGCCCGTTGCCATCTAGTATACCACTCGCACTAGGACCTATGGCGGGTTAGCCATTACCACTACTTGCACTAACTGCACTGGGAATTATGACTGGATGGCCTATTCACTTATACCACTTGCACTAAGACTCATGGCGGGCTGCATAGAGCCAGCGAAGGAGCATGCACTGCCGTTTACAGCCGAATTTGCAATCGCGGTGGTAGGGGAGCTGCTGATCTCTGACACGGAACTTATGGCCTGAGTGCCATCATTCGCTGTGGAGACAACAGAGCTGGGCAAGGCCGTGCTTAGGGTAGAGACAATACTGAGAGACCTCGAAGCACCGTTTGCGCCTGTTTCTATGGCATCTGGATGAGTTGGTGCGTCTGTAGGCCGCGACACAGCTGCTGAGTTTACAGACTCACGAGGACTGCCTGTTTGCAGTCCCGCTCCGCACATAGTCAAGGTTAAGGGAGCGATAGTGAGCGTCATGCCACTGTACATCATCGTGATCGAAGGCTCTAGACTGTCCGTAGAATAGAGAGCTCCCGATTTGGGAAAGCAATACTGCTCGACGATGGGCGCCGCAGGGGAATTGTCAGGCTGGGCTTCACCACAAACTTACAGAGCGCTGAAAACGATCAAAACAATCGGTATGGTCATGATAAGCTGGTTCGTAAGCTTGCGTGTCGAACCGGAGACGGCAAAAGTCTCATATAGCTAGCACTGTACCCGTGACCATCGCCATGCACTTCAGCTATTTGCTGATGCATGGACATCACCTATATATACTTCTCGCTCACGCTCTTGCATACCTCCTATCAGTCATGCAGACCTCTCTTACTCGAGAAGCAGAATGTGCATAGCTTACAAGAGAAGCGGGATGATCGATCGTCCGTGTTATTGACTAAGCACTCTCCTACCTGCCACCCTGCGGCCATCCTGGTCATGACGCGCTAAACTTGGCATGCCCCCCGCGTTTGCTGCTCATATGGCATGAGCAGCGTATGCTTGCTGAGCGAAGGCGCATAAGCAGCAGTCTGTGATCTGACACGGCGACGCATTCCAAGCAGTTGATAACTTTACGCGCAACGTCATATGAGCCTTCACGAAGGTATGGGGATATGTACTCAATAGTCGCCATGCCGCTTTAGGCAGCAAGGGCGAACGCGAATTGTTCAAGTTTAGCGCTGCTTGCATGCTAATTAAGCCTTTGACACTCGCTCTCACGAATCATGGGTGGGGCAGGAACCTGGCAACTACCATTCCTACTGTGCGATTCACAAACTCTACCTTGTTTAGGAAATATTATCCACTATTCATTGCGCTCGTCCGCGAAGGCTTGGCTCATAAATCGGCTACTGTAAACCGAGAAGATATGGATCATACAGAGAGTAGCAGATGCAAGTGCCTGGTAGGTGACTGTATTAGCGTTCATAAATCTCTGCCCTCAGCAGTGGTGACTGAGGCACAAGCCAAAATCGACCAAAGGCGAGCAGTTGGCACTATAAGTATTTCTAGAGACATCCATTGATCTCTTTGCCTACGCTTCGAAGAGCGGGCGGGCCTGAGTGACGGTCCGATGGGCTGTTCGCACGCTTGTGAACTCATCTCTGCTCGTGCTGCCTTAGCAGCACAACTATATCCGCTATCGCTTTCTCCGCTTCTGACGGCACAATTGCTCTCGAAAACATGGTCGTGATTCCGATGTTTAGGCGAACAAGAAGTAAGCGCGATAACGGCAGAAGCATCTAGGTTAGAGCTCCAATTGTTGCAGGCCCTGCAAAACTGCGGCGCAGCATCCTGATGATATTGATGGTAATCAGGATTATGAAGGTGGTACTGGGGTTTGCTGACAAGGGTTTTGTAATAACTAGTATGTGGAGACGCTCAAAATGATGACCAGGCTCGTCTTCGGGTGACTTTGTCCTTGGTTTATCTGAGAAATACTAGACTGTTCTTAGCAATCTCAACGGAAGCTACACTGTGTACAGTATAGCTCGTACTTTCCACTCCAGCCTAGTATGTCATCCCTTTGTATACTTACAAAACTCTAGCCTATCACTACAGTATCCGCGGAGTTGATCGGGACAGCCTCGGTGTGTTGACGCGTTTGATTTGCCGCCAACTAGAGACGTCTGATGCACGACCCATATTTCATTTTACTTACACAAGATGTGAGTGGCGAGACTGGCGCGCGGCTGCCGGAATTGCCGAGGCGAGGGGCCCTGGCCCTCGAGGCGATGGCGTAAGCTACCACGCTTGTCCTTAGCGGGCAGAGTTGCCAAGATAACATGCACACAATCGTTCCGCGCCCTTGCAGATTAATTTTCCAGTCTGCGGAGTGTTCTTGGGTCCCGGCACGATGGACAACACGTGCACGGACTCTACACCGCCTAGCCATCTCTCCCCCCTATTACCGACTTCAGTACTAACCTCATCCAGTTCATACTTGTCACTCGAGATTGTGCGAGGCTGCTGTGCCGCAGAGACGCAGAACACGACACGACGGCAACTCCGGATGGTGCAAGGAAGGTGTTGGCATTCATTGCGAACGAAAACCTGAAAAGCAGGACCGATAGGCTCACTGCCATTGCAAGCAAGGGCCGTCATTCGAAATACCATACTCAATCAGCACTGATAGACCTGCTTACTGTTGTGGCCGACGTTAGAGTGGCGTAAGTAGGCCGTTCGGTAGATTTGCTTACTTCTGTGCGCGGCAAACGCCCATGACGCAATCTACCTGATCCATGTGATCCACGTGATCGTTCATGCATGCGGGCGTGTGCAGACATGTGGGCTCACACAGCAAGGGCACCTACCCTGTCAGCATACGATATGTCGCCCCATATCTGTCTAAACTTATGAGAAAATTCTCATGCAGGCTCTCCGCACAGGCATCCATTACGGCAGTTCCTTTCGAGATTGTAGCGATACAGTCCCGGGGGTGGCGGTCCGGCGAGCCTGTGCGGAGCCTTGGCCCTGCTGTTCCTCGATGTACACAATCCTCGTTTCTCCGGTATCCTGTAGCGAGCGAACTGCTGCCCTTGGCGGAAAGTCTGACACTTCTACGATGGCATGTTCTCGCGGCCTGCTGATGCGTAGCCGTAGCTGAAGCCACCGTTACATCAATTCCTAAGCACATCGCAAGCATGATGCTGATCCTATCGGGAAGGCCAGAACAACTTAGTCTTCTTGCAGAGAACCTAACTCTGCGCTTTCTTGTACATGTAATCATCAAGCATAGTTGATTTGGATGACTGTTATGCACATTACGTCCTTCCTCTTCCCAGACTATTCCTATTGTTGTACGGAGATCCACTGTCGACCGTATAGTCATCCCCACATCGTGCCCCAACATGTCCCGTCGTTAGAGGTCGGCACCCGATACGGTGTAACGGCACGGTTGGCACAGCAAGGGTGATAGCACAAATATCCAGCTCCCATGCTGTTCAGTCATCCTGTTCGCTGTTGTTAGATACCACCATGGCTCAATTCGACCAATCCTTCCTGCTAGACACTCAGATTTATGGTCAAAACGAATTTCCCGATAGCACCACCAACCACATCAATTCGCCGATACCACCTTTGGTCCATGGTAATGGCATAGCACATTCATCAAAGTAAGCAGCATATCTCTGGCCTATTTGAAAGCTGTGGAGTTAGAGAGTGGCTGACTTGTGTTCAGCAACTTGACAAGGAATGACGCGCCAACGTCAAGCACTGATGAAACACCCTCTTCACTAACGAGATTGTTGAAGCAAATGGTGGAGCTGTATATCGATGCAAGAAAGGAAACCAACGAAGCGAATACCATATTGCGCGAGGTGAACACGATAGTGCATGAGGTGAAAACAATATCGCAGAAAAATCGAGAAGAGCTGAGGAGGAGGGAAGAAGATTCGAGGAGGAGGGAAGAAAAGACCATGAGAGTATTGGAGGAAGTGACCCAGTGGATAAAGAGGCAGGAGCATGCAAAGAAGCGCACGTTGGAACCGCCACTGAGAGACGGACAATACCTACCAGAGCCAGATATGAGGCCTCGAGGCGTGCCTTATGTATCTCAAAATCCTCGCCAGTATGGTCTTGCAACAGAGCCGCATTGGTATGTCCACTTCCCTTATATTGGCCTTCGTATCACTGAATTTTGATAAGGCCTACCGGCGGATACACCACAGAGCCTTACCATCCGCGCGACGCATGGTAGGCTTTAGATAGGACGTGAAATCTGAACACACCCACACACCGGAGAGCTTTACTAGGGCGTCACATATCTTATCAATCTTTACAAAATCTACAGCTAACTATAGGGCACTATCAATATTAAGTGTGACTCTTTCACTACAGGTCATCTTCGTAGTGGTAGTGTACGCACGATGTTTTTGTGTGTCAACCTTAGTGAGGGGGCAGGTAACGCAGATAAAGCAAGGAGGATAGTCCAATCATCAGATTACTACTCAGGCGATATCTACACAGTCATATTTGAGTTTCATAATAGTGTTTAAATTATCTGATTCCTCGCCTTCTCCAGCTGTGCGCTCAGCTGCATGATCGCCCTACGCTGTTCGTGCTGGACACTATACTTATACACCTGCTCACTGAGCGATCGAATTGTATCCTCAGAAATACCGTATGTTCCACCCAAAACTGCAGTAGATGCATGGGGATTGTACTGAATTCTTGGAACGACCGATGGTTTTTGCGGTACAGCAGGTTGCTGCTGACCTTGGTATACTCGGCTGACGAGATCTTTAAATTTAGGGTTGACGCGCGCAATAGGGCTCTGCAAAGACTTCTTAACGTTAAGGTCTTCGACGCTAACTAAAAGTCTATCAATATCTTGTTCTATCATAGCTACGCGCTCTAATAGTGTGAGTGATGTGCTAGGTAGATCTAGCTCTCTTCTTTAATTAGAGACGTTCTCTATATTGGTCGAGACTTCTTGCGCATTAGCTCCTAGAGGATCAACTGCAGTTAGTGGTTCTTCTTCTATCTCATCCCTTATCATGCAGTCTGATAGAGAAGCATATAAAGTTATTTTCTTTATCTTTAGCTTTCTACGTAAAAGTCAGCCGGCGCTTAGGCTACACTTAACAAACTTATAGTAAACACATACTCTCTGTATCTTCGCTGCGCTTCCCTATTGCATAATCTACGTGCTTCTTACGCTTAATATCAGGTTTCGTACTTCTTATTCGCTATAGATAGATAATTTAAAAACTTATTACAATAAATCGTAGCCGGTTATAATAGATACTACACTTTTACAGCGCAAGCCAAGTGACAAATTAAGGTTTAAAACTATCCTAAGTCTAGTTACGGATAAGAAGTCGGTATTAAGGTTGCACTACAAACAGCAGCGTAAGGATATTTAAGCATAGTGGGTCTTAGGCATTAGCGTAGTGGTCATAATCTTAATTGAAGGAAACATGCTAAGCCATAAGCATAATCATTTTGAGCCTCGGCTACAGCATCATGCCAGCCACAATGTGTGGGCCTTCAAGTAGAGTGGATCTCAACGTCCCGAAGGGTTGGAAGAAGCTATTAGGGTAAGCACAGAAACTAGCGATAGTCCTCACAGGCCCTAGTCGTCACACGAACCAGAGACAGTGCATGCTAGACACGGATGCATCCACTGCCGGACTGATAATGCACCGTGCTTTGGGAAGGCTGGTGTCTCCCCTGCGCAGTGCTAGTTCGCCAGAACAGCCATGATAAACCCTTCTACCCTTGATCATCTTGGATATGGCTGCTGTTTGTGCGACTCTAAGAAGCATTTACTTAATGTCCTCCCCATGATTCCATAGATGTCGTAGCGACAGGCTTAGTGCTGTAGTTGACAAATAGCCACTGTGTCTGTTTGAATGCATTGACCTAAGTCGATGGTTTGCCGACAGTAAAGCTTAGTGAAGGGCTACCCATAGAGATGGCATAGATCCGCATGTATGTATAGTGCGGGAATACAGAAATATTGATCATGTGGTCAGCTTGCTTCTACTGCGCTGATAGTTGTAGGAGTCTTAAACTATCTAGTCGTCGTCCCACAGTAGGACGCTCCCGCTCCCGCTCACCTGCGCTACTGACGCATTCATGGAGATATATGTTGAAGGAATGAATAGTAAGCTCTAAAGGTCACCATATGGCACTCTCAATAGTACTTCGCAAACCTCAGCGTATAGTGATGGGCAAAAGGTGGCGCCCCGCTCGACGTCATCATTCGCAAACAAAACCTTTGCACGTGCTTAGAAGGTTCTGCACTAGAGCCGTTCATCTGTGGCCTCTGCGCGATCGTATATCAGGTCCAATTCATCAAATCTTGTGAAAAATTGGAACTACACAATATCTCTGATATATGGCTCATATTCCTCATGTGCTACGCTCTGCCTATGCAATCGTGTCCCACGGCGTGGCAATCAGAGTAACCTAAATTCTTTGATTTTTCTTATCCATACGTACCGCTGCAGGATTCAACATACCGAACCAGCTCTAGTCGCGGTCCCGATCACGATTCCGATATCAATATTCTCCTCCCACTCGAACAATGGCAAATAGGTTTCAAGAACTTGGATAAAATCTCTTAGGGGATTTGAAGGGCATACTTGAGGAGATATCTATGGTGCACTGAAATTCTTATCTTCTACTTAGTAGTGGTCACGATAGTTGTTGCGCGGCGAAGAATGGACTATGCAGACATCCTTCTCTCCATTTTGCTAGGAGCGGTCCAGCTGGCCGAAGTAATTGACTGCATCTTGGTTGTTACACATCATCTAATGCGCTTGCCAGTATTGACCGGATGCTGGCAATCGTGGTATACCAATCGCTGATTTTGAGCTTACTAGACTGATGCTCGCAGAAAATGAAAGCCGCTCACACAAAAGCGCAGCAGCCGAAGAGAGCAACGATCCACAGAGCGGACTATTCGTCATGCACAACATTTCATGAAATTTTTTTATGCATAATGCTGTTTTCGTTTGTCGTGGATATCCCGTCCTCCTGGTCAATGGACGTTGTAGGAGGAACTAGTTAGTAGAGTTCCCGACGGTCACAAATACCAACTTAGCCTGTGCACGCAGCTTCGTAATGGACTTAGTCTCGTCTACGCGTCTTGGGATGGCAGCCTTGCATGATCTGCTCTAGTGACTCTTCTATAGTAAGCTGCTTACCGAGCGGACGGTACATACGTACTTGCGTACGCGACCGAGCCACATGGGCGTTTGGGTCACGCTGCGCGACAAGCCCGAGCGATACTCCAAGCTGCTTACGGAGTCGCTCATCCCCTAGTCAATGCCATCAAGTTTCGCTCGTAACCATGGCTAGTGTGCCATATCGGGTTCATGCACGCGTCTGAGAACTGTGCCGCATGATCCAGCAGAGGAAGAACTCATAATGAGGGTGCCCTATTTGAGGACGCAGCAGCAAGTTTTCTGTCTGGCGATGACAACGTCTATACAATCAGAATGGGTTTAATACCAGTGAATTTCAAGCAAGTTCGGTATTCTCGACTTGATGGCAGGCCTTATTTTCAGCATCCCGAATACCCCGAGTTCGTCCAATTCGTGGTGAATGGTGAATGGGTATCAATCCACGTGCTATCGATAAAGCCGTACGTTCATTGCGACATGTTTTATCTCACTAGGATTTGGCTAACGCTGGACAGAGAAATGATGGATGAAAACATAAAGGGGATCGTGCAAGAGGCAAAAAAGTTACTGTTCCAAGACCAAAGTGTGACCGACACACTTAGTCTGTCACAGCGCCCAACTTTGCCGCCCCTCCAGTCTTCTTGTACGAACATGTCGTCGGAGATCCGGTTTCACAAGACTGTCGAAGAGTGCAAGACAACGCAAAGAGAGTTCCTTCACGTACCGAACTCAGGCCCATCAGTATCCACAAGGAAGAATTCTTACTCTCAGGCCACTACGGATAGCCACCATCCAAGATCTGATTATTACAGCATGCCAAGTAACATCTTGTAGTCGTACGGCTAGATCATGGGCAATGGATCCATCTGAGCAGGTTCGATAGCGAAAGGCGGCGCAAGTGTTCACAGCGACGATGTGGAGTCAGTTTGTTCAGTAAGAGGAAGGTCAATCCATGTTTGTGACACGCGACCCTTTGCTCTAGATCCAAACAACTTGTGTTTAATGTGAATTGTTCTGGGGGTGTGAGTATGTAGTTGTGATTGGCAATAGTGTTAATTTTTGATACTACCGTCTTCTCCATGTGCGCACATTGTTGGGTGCAGACAATTTCGTATCCCATGCGTAGTATTAGCAGCATAGCTGAGGATATGATCAAGATATGGTTTGAGCAGGTTCTAGCGCTCATGCACCCCAGTTGCATTCTTTTTCTCTATCGGAACTTCTTCTGCGGCCGTAATTATACATGCTATAGTCATTCGGGACGCAAGTTTGAATAGCGTCAATGGCTGTGTACGTCTCCGCGCGAATGCCTACAGTTTGCGCCGCGGCAGCTCTGGGACCAGATTGCATAGGTGCTAGTGGCTGCGGCTGCGGTTGCACAAGCCCTCCTACAGAGCTGGACTTGTTGGCGTCCCTCGTGCCTGGCCTTGGCCATGACTTGTGAGCATGCTAACGTTGACGTGATCGCTCTGTTCCCTGCAATCTTGGGCGAACTAAGAGGCCCATCTGCTACTCGCGCGGCTAAACACTGGTGACGCCCAGCATGACGCAATGCACACAACTTATCTAGTTAGGGCGGTACTGTAAGGATTCCGTTGCGCGCAAAGTATAGCAGGGGTTGCATTACTCCTGGAACAGTCACTGCTTGAATGCAAGGGCGCCTGACACATCCTACTAACCTTCAGGCAATCGCTTCGGCATCTGGGAGGGGAAGGGGAGGGTCCAGAACCACCTCGCCGCGTCCGCTAACACAAGGGCTAATCCCCACTCACGCTAGTAAGGTGGGGGTGCCTTCATCCCCGTCATGTGGCACGAACTTGGTCGCACCTGCTTGGAGGAAGCGGCCACAATGTGATTGCAACACGGGTGAACAGGCAGGGATGGGTTTGAAGTGGAAGGTAATATTTGCTTTGTGGAATGTAGCGACTTGACATAGTTCGTACTTGGGCTATATAACGACACAGTTTGTAAGAGAGCTTCTGTTTACAACAAGAAAACTATAACAAAGAGACACCAGGCTACTGCTAACTTAGAAGCGACAACGTCCTTTCCACCACGTCTGGTAGTCGTTCCTTCCCACACTGCTGTGAGAGTGCGCACCGCCTTCAATAAGAAAGACGCCAGCGATGATTTTGTCTTTCGTCTATCACCTCTTCATATACCCTGCGATGCATTACCCGTAGTCCACTCCAATGTGCGTTCTAGATGTAGCAAATTTTTTGCACAAGAGGTATAGCGCATAGTCGGGGGCCCATCTTATGATGCTGGGTCGCGCACAGAATTCATTTTCGGTCGATCAAACTTCTACTCGCCACGTATACTGAAAGTTCAAGGGGTGTTGGCCGTCGGGAATCCCTTGCTCTTCCGTATCGCATCTTAATCGAGTGCAGCTGCTTGATGGTGTAATGCAGTGAAGGATTGGTCGGTGGGAAAAAACTGGGATCGCTCCGTAAGGTACTTTCTTCGACATCTCTACATCGGCGTAGCCCGGTGGTAGGCAGGCGAAGCAGGGCCACAATCCCTGTGCAGGGTTTCCAGTAGATGCATGCGGATTGTAATGCATTCTTGGAACGACCGATGGTTTTTGCGGTACAGCAGGTTGCTGCTGACCTTGGTATACTCGGCTGACGAGATCTTTGAATTTAGGGTTGACGCGCGCAATAGGGCTCTGCAGAGACTTCTTAACGTTGAGGTCTTCGACGCTGACCAAAAGTCTATCAACATCTTGTTCTATCCTAGCCACGCGCTCCAACAGTGTGAGTGATATGCTGGGTGGATCTGGCTCTCTTCTTTGATTGGAGACGTCCTCCATACCGGTCGAGACTTCTTGCGCATCAGCTCCTGGAGGATCGACTGCAGTTGGTGGTTCTTCTTCTATCTCGTCCCTTGTCGTGCTGTCTGATGGAGAAGCGTATGAAGTTATTTTCTTCATCTTTAGTTTTCTAGGCGAAAGTCAGCCGGCGCTTGGGCTACACTTGACAAACTTACAATAAACACATACTCTCTGTATCTTCGCTGCGCTTTCCTATTGCATGCTTTACGTGCTTCTTTAGCTTGACATCGGGTTTCGTACTTCCAGTTTATTATTATTCCATTATAGTCCTGTATCAGCCGTTGGCTATGTAAGACTTTGGCCAAAGGCCGTTCTATCTGACTAGTTACAATTTGGTACGTTGTGCTGTATTGCGTGACTATGGTGCTTCGGCCTTTGTCTAGTTAAGCTAGTGCTAGCTTTCTGGACG